TTCTTGGTGTCTTCGGCTAGCTGTTACGTATTCGTTATACAAGGTGCCATATGGGGACTATATTTGCAAACGAGTGCATGAAAGCAGTTGGATTTCTGATTGTTAAATAATTAGCACTTTATGGGGTTTAATAAATTAAATGTGAAAGTTTTCAGCTCATAATAATTTACATTTTCGTTATTCAAAGGGATTTGATCTAATAATTGCATAATAAATCAAACAGTCACTGAAATAAAAGTATATTTTTCAAAACTGAGCAATCTGATCATGTAAACGTATTTTGGTTAGAGCCACTTATGTACCAATTACAGAATATTCTCCGGTGTGAACCATGTTTGAATTAAGGCAATCTTGGAACAAAATGGAAAAAACTATGCGTTTGCACTTAATGAGCTTTTGATTTAGTCGTCATTGCGAATCCAGTTCCACGCTTTTGTCAATTTTACCACTCGTTAAGGTAATAAGCGCCTACTTTTTCGCACATTTTTATTATTATATGTAACTGCAAGTTGTTAAGTGAACAGAAAAAATAGTTCATTAATCAGCTTAGGAATCAAAAGATAATTTCTTGAACTTGACCTTTTAACAATTTTCCAAATACTTCATGTAAATGTTAAGCTGTATTTCTCATTCCCAATTTAAATGTCATATTTTCGAAACGTGTGTGAAACAGCTCACAAAGTCAATGAGTTTTGACACATTTTAATGTCAGCCAATCTTTGCTGGATTACTCGAAATATATCTTGCACATTCAGTTCACTCTCACCACTTTCTCATTCGCTAGGTATTATTAGTAGTTGCAGTACAACAAAAATTTCCAGCGGATTACGAGGTTTTTCAATAAGAGGCAATTCTCCTTTTCAAAAGTAATGTCCATGAAAAGTTTGGTAAAATAAACCGAACCCAATTAACGAATAATTCGAATTGCTCTTTAGTAAAATGGAGCGCATGTGACAGGGAAAGGGTATAGTTTCAAATTAATTAACATAGATATCGATACGTGACATATAAAACAATTTACTTTTACTTTGTTCGCAGGTCATACATAACATATGTATGTAACACCTACCCAAGGAAGTTTCCCACAAAACAGCCACCGATAAATTACCCAATAAATCTGATTGTTCACAATTATATCAAATACACATTGACAATGTCAGCGGCTTGTTAACATTATGAAATAGTGACAATAAATATAGTAACAACCTGCATGAAGTTAAATTGACTGGCTATTGTTTGGGATCTTAAACCTCCACTTCGTTAAATACATTTCATACATATGAAAGAACCACATGTGACTGTTTCAACACGTGATTGTTTTGAATTTAATCGATTACAGACAATTGTTTGCTTAAAAGAAAAAGTATTGTATGGAGAATGGAACCAAATGAAAGTCAAGTGCAACCAGCCAGGTGGTTCTGCTCGCTTACATAAAATTAACAGTAGTTACATTTAGAAAGGAAAAGTGTTATACAATAAATGGGATAACCCTAACCTTTACATCTGATGATTTTCACTTCTGCTAGGTCAATTAGGATGAAGTATGTCTTAATTATTCAAAAGTCGACTTATATCACATTAAATCAGGAAATAATCGGATGAAGCTTTTCAATTATGATAAAAAATTCAAGAAAATTTACATAAAACCACAGCTTTAAAATATGCTTCACATATATCACTAATTAGGTCTGTGATTGAAGCAGAATCCAGGTTATGAAGAAATCTTAACGAATAGAAATAAATCGAAACACTGTTAGAGCCAAAAACCGGAATTTAGAGCGAAGAACAATTTTCCGGAATAATTTGGAAACTTTGACAAACTTTTACTTGGAGCCGAGCAAAATGGCAAGTTTTAAAGGCATTGTTTATTGAGAATGAAAACATATTTTCACCGTATCAGTTCATATTTTATCAACTTCATTAGTGAGGTGCTTGTTAGAATGGAATGGATAATTAAGTTAACCAAAACTTGTTCAAAAAAATGCCTATCAATAACTCGCATCAATTACATTTTAACAGAACCTTTCAATTTCACACCGTAATCATATTTCTGAAGAAATCATAATATTCCAAGAGAATAGTGGCTTTATTGAGGTATGTTATACCTCAATCCAACTCCAATTTAATCTGGCTCTGATTTTTCAAGTAGCCTTTCCAATCCTTGATTAATTCCGGATCGATAACCATTAATCAATTTCAATTTAACTACACCCTGCATGTATATATACGGTATCGTTAATTTATCAACTCTTGATTAATCCGTGATCGAGACTTCTTATAAGTAAAGCGGATCTTGACAATGGGCGTAAAAATTGCTTGACAAGGCTGAACGAGAATGATTTAAGGGGGATTTTCTGAAATTATTTAGCCAATTTCATAACAAAAACATAATAGAAATAATTTGGTTTGCTCATCATTATTCAGTTATCGGTTGTTTCAATACATTTAAACGGATGCAATACAGTTTCTAAATTGTTTAAGCGCTGCAAATGATTTTGTACGGATACCGATTTAAAAATTACACTGATTGCACAGATAATCACGACTGACTGATGGAAACAATTATTACAACATTACATAATGTTGAGGCAAAGGGCAAATTATAGTCTAATAATTGCTCAGCAAAATTTCACATAATACTGTGCTACTTATAGCTTACCTTCAACCTTTGCTTTAAATGCGAAGTACAAATTATAAATAATAACGGAGATTGCAGTTTGCAATAATCACTTGATGATATTAGTACATACATATATTTCTTATATGCGGTATGAAATATCATGATAAACTCTTATAAATGTCGACATTATTTTAAACAATCATGGGAATCGGATGATTTCGTTAACGCCCTACATTGTAATAATTTTTGAAGATTGAAGAAAACATGCGTTATTATGAAACTGATGCGTAGGAGATTTATTGAATTTATATTCACCTTAGAATTTACACACTTACGTAATATATTATTTCAGCGAATTATTAGCATCACTATTTTATGCAAGCTGAATCTCATCTTTTCTTTAGCTGCTCATTATAATAATTATAGCTTTCGAACAACTTAGTTGACAAATACAATTTAAACGTTATTATACAATAATGACATGAGCTTCTTAAATTTTATAAATAGTAAACCGCCTTCTGAGTAGCTTTCATAACGAAGAGAAACGATGATAAAATTTCCGAAAACCGTACGAAATTTTAATAAATATTGGCTAAAACTCTAGTTTCAATTGAGAAACGTTACGCAAATTTCAAAGGCACACTAATTAACAAAGACATTAAATTAAGCATTAATTATGGTTTCATGTACAAACCTTGAACGCAACAAGAAAGGCAAAAAATTCTGTGGTAGAAAAGCAAAAGTTAACAAAGCGATCGTCTCAAAAAAAAATCAGATTAGCGCTCTTACACAATTCTTTTTTGTGGTCAGTCCGGCTTGTTTGGATTCTGTATAGCAGAAAAACTTTTATTTTGGTTTTAGCTCGTGTTTTTTTATCGGCTAGATGTGATTTGTAAGAATTTTTGAAATATTTCAAATTGTCTTAGGAAACTTCGTGATTTTGGCAACAACATTCCAATTTTCATTCAGCCCATTTCAGAGCTAGGGATTTTTTTTCGTAGAAGAGACATTTTACTAAATTACAGTTTTAGCACATCTCAGTTATGAAATATAATTTTTTTTCATTTGAACGGGATGGAAATCGTCAATTGCACTGCTAATTTTACTGTTTACAAAACGATTATTTTAAAAGTAGGACAACCAGTATAAAAGCGTCTCGATTCCAAGCGTCGATTATATAACAATCCAGTATGAATGAACTTTACGGGCATCAGGCAATTTGTCTTCGCCAGTCTAAACGAGAAGAAATTGAAAGTGTTTTTGTTGTTACATTTTCAATTCAGCTAAGCCTTTCGGCGTGGACAAATTATAGATCAGATATATGTGGGTTATATAGAAAGTATAGAAAACGACGATTGCGATATACAAACTTTCCAACCAAATTGATTATCGCTAACATAAGAGAGAATTAGGGCAGACAATTTAAATGTTTTGGGTTTGAAAGCTGGCAATTTGCAATTTTTTATCCCCGACAATTGCACTAGGCGCTAATCGCTCAGCCTAGAGGCAACAATTGGTAGAAATTTACAAATATTCCGGTTGAAGATCTTTTTATACTGAATGGGTGTGAGTAAAAGTATTTGTCTGGTCCAAATTGCGCAAATTTTACCTCATACGGGTATTTAAATGTACGGTCAAGCCAGATTAACATCGTCCAAAAAACGGGTCCAAGTTACAAGAATTACGTTATTCCAAAGATTTTTGATAGTGACCGCAATAGCACAAAAACAAGAATTGCTATATTACAACATTATCAAGATCTTTTATCTAGAAAAACGTTAAAATAGCATAAGTAGCCACTTATAATGTGTTAATAACCAGCGGTACATTGCGAAACAATCGACCATGGAGAGTAGCATTCATGTGTGAAGACCTATTTACTAGCAGTTAATCACGAATTTGCAAAAATATATCTTGGCATATTTTGTACAAGCTACTATTGTATTACTTTCTAAGCAGCTTGATCAAGAAAAGCCTACTAGAACCAAGGTTTTTCGTGATGAACAACGCCTAGTGTTGCACAACTTATCCCGAACGATTTTCGTATTGTATTCAATTGAAATTTTCTGCTACGTGTTTTTGCTTTCAGTGTGACCCTTTCGGCATGCAGCAATGTCTTAGATTTGCGAATAATAACCTTTCAAATGGTAACCAGATGACTGACCGTTACGCCTTTCTGCTCTTTGTGCCATTTAAGGTCGTCTTAGAAGGTTAAGCCATGCTTTCATTGCACAAGTGTTTTAAAAAATGCATACCTTATTAAAGTATCTAAAATGCTCAAGGAAATTCGAGGAATCAAATAAGGTGCTGATTTGGCGTTACATGTATTAAAGCCAATGAGAGTCGGTTAATAATACATGAAGTTTAAAGTAATGTTTACCTGGCAATATTGCTGCCTTTTCCTCTCCTTGTTCAGTACTTCGACAATTTCCATTTCCACCGTCTAAATTCAGAGAAGACTGTATTAGTAAACAAATAAAAAATTATTGGTCGCACCAAACACCACAATGATCGAACTACTGAAAAACTGAAAGTTAACATTAACATTTTTAATTTAGAAGATCGAACAAGTAATGAATGAAACGCAATTATCAACAGAGACATTTTGAACATTTTTCCGGCAGAATTAACGAAAAAATGTGCTCTGGTTTCCCAAAGCATTTTTTTGAAGAATCTATAACCATATTGGCATTTACTTTCGGACACTCTACACACAGGAAATTTAATGAATTTTAGAAAGGCTCAAAAATAAAATTATCTCCCCCATTTGCACTCTGTATATTCTTATATATGATTTTTGTAGATAAAAGGTTTGAATATAATTAAGTGTACTAATGTGTATAAAAAATGCTCCTATTCATGATCTGCTTCCAACATGACATTGAATCAATTCACCTATTTTTACACAATTATTTAGGATTCAAATTGCGAACGTTGTTTGAATATTAATTGAAGTAAAATATCAAGCGACTAATCAATAAAAGCCGTTTATCATTGTCTTAAGCGGCCGCAGTTTAACTACATAGGGAACCATTAGAGTTGAAATAAACAATATGCACGATCGTCCTTTAGCCTGTTCACATCTTTCTTCAGCAAATGCAATCGCTTATTAGTTACGCCTACTCTATTTTTATGGTAAATACCGCAATAATAGTAAGGCGTTTTAAATAACATAGTATGTATCTTAGGTTGCAAATAATGGCAAAGTTGACTTTCCAATAGTGTTCTTTAGGTGTTTCGTAACTCTTACTTCGAGTGCACTCGTTTTGCAAAGCTGCTTTTCAATATGAATCGAACTTTATGTAACCTGATTTTTTTAAGGGAAATTTCTAGTGCTAGTTTCTATCAAATATTTACTGGAGCATATGGCACTTAATTAACTAGAGTTGATGATGGAGGGAATATTATAGTAAAGTTCCCCACATTGAACCTCCAATATGGCACACTAGAACCAACCTTGACATTTGATAAATAAGAAACTGCCGCTATTTTAATTACTGGGAATATTACTACACAAAATCCTGAGATCTCACGGAAAAAATGTTCACCAATTAATTGCCAGTTGTTCTACCAGATCCTGCACTTTTTCTATTAAGGCAAATCATTGCGAAACTATAAACAAGAATAGTTTTTATGGACAAATATCGAACCTGCATACGGATATACCTGGCGAATGGAAGGTCGTTAAGCACCACGCCTAATATTTGTGGCCTTCAGTTGCTAGACAATATTCACTGAATTTACTGCACCAATTTTTCTTCTGGTACGTGATAGTAGCTGACTGATAGTTGTCATGTTGCCTATTTCAACATTCTTCTCGTCCCGTCCAAAGTCACTTGGAAAAGCACAATGCAAATATACAAAGAATGAACATGAATAGTTTTCCTAGAATTTCCTTATAAACTTAATAAATATCTAGGAAGACAGCATTAAGCTAGTCAAATTCAAATGGATTCCAGGTACATCGAATTAGTTATTGGCCGACTGCTAGAAACATTGAACTTTTCGCATAAGTTACTGCTTTGGCATTTATTTATTAATAAACTGATCAAGAGGGTTCCATTGAATCGAAGCTCTTAAGATAAACCAAGCTGTTGCCTAAGACGTCAATATTTTTCTTATTTTGTAAAGTTAATGCTATTGGAAATGAGAATAATCCACTGTTGACAAGACCATTGAATTAGCGACTTAACGATTCCTTAATAAAAGAGAATGTTACTAATTTTCTTGAATATGTTGACCTAAATCTCAGGAATTTGACTTGAAAGCCTTACATAGCATAAAGTGTTCTGTGATTAATAGGTTCCTTTGTTTAAAGGAGCTACAAGTAAAATGTAATTGTTATAATTACAACCTTAATAAACCCATAACCTTTCGATGCAATTTGTTAAATATCTGTGGGTTCCGTGTGCTTCAATTAATTTACATAAAACAGGCCAAGGATTGGCAGGTACAGCAAAAGAAATAAAATTAAACTTTTTTTCGGAGAATTGCCATCATTGAGGATTCCCCAGTTATTCAGCCGTTAAATCAAACTTTCATCCACGTATCCCACACATGCCAGTGAATTTGTTCGGACAATTACTTCTTCGGTGAACATGATAATAAGAGAAAAACAACAACAAAAATTGTGCAAATGAGTTTGCCGCTTCAAATACACTGTCATTTTCTTTTCTCCATATAAAGATTTAAGAAATCTCCCAAAAGTTATATAATAAGTATTGAATATTGTAATGCTGTTTTTCCTGGTGTTGAAAGTGGCATTTCTTGATATGTCAATATTACTGACCCATTCACTATCAAGCTGATTATAGACACTTAGCAACAAGAACTGTGCAACTCAACGTGATACTTGATACCAAGAAAGGTATCACGTGAAACACTATGAAATTGAAATAAAACAAACATTATGTAGGTAGGGCAAATGATATTACCTTCCATACTCTACATGCATATTATGTGGAATATCATTATCGTTTTGCCAATTAGGTTGAGACTTATTAGACGTGGGTTTGAGATCACGTCCACCTTCGCTTCTGGCTCCATTAATCAATTCGGCGACAACATTATTAACCATGGGCAACAAATTAATGGAGACAGTCTATTTGTAATGAGTAGATTCATTGAACTAGCAAAGGTATTTGAGCTGGGCCAGAATTAGGTGTGGTTTTATTTAACATAATATTGTAACTGTTTTGTTAAGCGTTCAGAGAATGTATGCATTGTTGGTGGCAATTAAGGTGCAATACTACCAAAACGCAATCTTTAGACATTAAAATCTAGTATCAAAATAGAACAAAAATGTATATCAACACCAGTCACCCATATGCGTCCATATGGTTTATGCAAAAAATCTAAAAAATGCCTACCTAGCCTAACGGAAAATTTTTATAAAATATTCATGAAATTATCCACTAAAAAGGAAACTATCTACTAAGAATGCACCACATGGATTGTGCAATGGCAAATTACTGAAGAGGATTTCAGTATCGCTGAACGCGAATTTTCATTACACTCTAATTAATGATAAATTCAAAACTTCCGTGTAAAAAATCTGATTTCGCCAACGCTAAAAGACTGAACCAATAAATTACCTGGGCACAAAACAAGCCACTGTTTTTTATAAACAATAGGTTGCAATTAAGAACTGTTACATAGCGACTAGTAATGCTATTAATTATTTTTCTATGTAACGCAAGCGTAGTTTTTGGTAGTTTCAAAACGTTCGAAATTAGACTGCTTTCAACGCAATTAATTTGATTCAGAAATGTTTATATAATGGAAGTAGCAGTTCACGACCTAATTGTCTCTAAACGTACCTCCAGAATATGTAATCACTTAGGCATATAACAATTGGATGTATAAATTACTGGTATATGGGTATGTTCGACATAGAAATACGCGCCATATAATTTACGACAACCGTTTTATTATAATTGCTAGTTAAGGAAATACAATTTATATAGCAATTTAAATTAGATATGGAGACGGAATGGAAATAATTGAATTATGTAACACTGCAAAATGTACTCTTCTGAGATTCCATTGGCAATGCATATACTTCCCCAAAGAATAATCGCCCTTAACATATTTGAGCCAATTTGAGCCAATTGCTGAAACGATTCAATTATCTAAAGTCGCAAGTCAATTTACTTAAGTAAACAGTTTTTAAATATCTCTTAATTATTCTAAAAGACATTCTTAAATTTTCAGGCTTTGCTGAAGGTCAGCGAAAGGTGACCAGACCATTACCAGCTGTATCAGAAACTAAAGAACGAGAAAGAGCAAATTTTGACTGCCCTGAGGAATTTGGTTACTATCCCCATCCCAATGATTGCACTCAGTATTACGTGTGCGTATTTGGAGGAGCCTTATTGGAATCGTGTACTGGAGGATTGATGTACAGGTACGATAATTCACATTTCCAGAAGTAAATTGCATACAAAATTGATGGCAACAATCCCCATCTGCAACGCTTAATCCTGCATACTTCAAGATATTAATTATTCATTCCAAATAATCCCAAAACCACAGTTGAAATTTAAACTCACAAATCTCGGTAAATTTCAATAGTTATATCCAATATACTAAAGACAATCACGTTCTTGAACCGACAAACTAACTGAAAGAATCTTTCCTTCCAGTCATGAACTTCAAACTTGCGATTGGCCAAGAAACGTTGGATGTGATGGAGTAGAACTCTCAGGTCCTCCACCTGCGCAGTCTGCACAGAGCAGCGGAACTCAGTCTCTTCGAACAAGAGAAAGAGATCGACCTCGTGAAAGAGAACGAGATGATTCCAGAATTGAATCCAGAAATAAGTATTCTCCACCAGCACCACCTCCACCACCACAACCCAAGGCTGTGGTAACTTCAAGAGGACAACCAAGACAATTGCAAAACCAACAAGAAATTGTCAAGGTGGATATCTTGTTAAAAGGGCTGTAACGTCTGAATTGAACACAATGTTTTTGACAGCAACAACTTTATGCTGACGTTGAGGAAGCTCTCCCGCCAGCTGAAGAAGTTGAGAGCGACCGTCAGCAGAGAGTGTATCGTGGACAACCATCGCTTGTAGGACAAGTGCAAAGAGATCGGGACGGCTACAGACATAGCAACGTCCTACCAGTAAGTACTGACCGCCCACCTCATCAGCCACTTTCATTAAATATTCACTTAATCGAATAAAAATGCTGAAAATAAGTCCCTGATCATCTTTCATAACCTTCTAGACTTACAAAGACCGTGGAGATAAAATTGGAGTAATTTCATTTGGAACCCAATCGCAATTGCAACATTACAGGTAAGCTTTACGAAAAGAGAGTAATTCTATATTAAACCGACTTGCTCTACAGTACTGCATCGAACTTGAACGAAATATTGACTAACGACTTAACACTGAAGAAACGACGCAAAAGAAACGTTCAGAGAAGGTAACATAAATAACTACTTAAAACTTTGAACCAATTGTAATAAAGAATACTTTCTAGTAGACCTCCTCAAAATAATCCGAATTGGCATGCTGCCCAAAGGATGAGGTTCTCACATCATAACAGACCTAATGTAGACTATCCAAGGCAAAAACTGCCACTTATGAGCTATGAAAATCAAGAGGAATTTAAACCGTTTGTACCTCAATATGCTATGGCGTCTTCTAATCAAGTGGCAGTACGGTACCCGCCGCCTAAAAGTTATCAAAGCTTTAAACCGAATATTTATATTGGCCCTGTTACATCCGCAACTGCTCATAGCTTCGATTTTGCCAAAATTAGAGGGCAAATGCATCATACTAATAACTTGAAACCTGTGGCAGCAGAATTTAACTATAACAGATTTCCTATAAATAATCTTGAATCTGCCTTCTCCAACATTGTATCAAAAACAGTCACTCCCGAAAAAAAAGTTAGGGACAACGTAAGAAGTCATACGGAAGTGAGAACTAGCAACTTCAAGCCTTTTGACATTTCGAACACTAAAATGTCTGACGAGAAGGACAAAAGTAAAAGCGACTTTGACGATATCAAACCGAAAGAAGCAGAAGGTGAAGATCAGAAGCCTAAAGATACCAAAGAGGAATTCACTGAAGAGTTTGATACCGAAAACGGCAAGGACGAGAAGCCAGAATCCGATGAATATAAAGAAGGAGAAGCAAAGGAAGGTGAAACGGAAGAAGGCGGTCCTAAGAATCATACAGTCAGTTACGAATATCACTCAGATGAAGTAGATGAAGATCTCTTGCCTCCACCATCCTTTTATAACAGCAAAAATAAATACGAGGATATTTACAATCCGTTTGAGGACCCACATTTCGATTTTGACCAGTTTCTCGAGAAACTTGGTTCGACTACAACCAGTTCAACCACCACAACTACCACCACAACTACGACAACACCAAAACCCATTCCGCAAGTCTATGAAGTTCATGATGAGTCGAGACCAGTTAAAGCCCAAAACCATAAACCTACTGTTTATGCAAACGAAGATCCAGTTTATCATGATGCATCCCCAATATACCCTCCGTCGTCTCCTAATCTTTTAAGTCCAGTCGCGCCTCCAGTCTATAAACAGCCTTCCCTCAGTTTACACCATTCAATTCCGGTTGTTAGGGAGCAGGTAACGAAAGCAAGCGTTGAAAAGGAGAAAGAAGATGAACAAGAGGAGGAATACGCGGAAGAGGACGAAGATGAAGAGGAAGTTATAAAGCCTGCAACTCCAGCTCCTAAGCTCCCTACTAAACCAGTTAGCGAAGACTTGGTGGAGGATTATGATGTTGAAAGAGGAGCCAGCAACAAAAAAATATATTCGAGCAAAATTCAAATCGCCAGTCCTAAAACACCAGTACCGGTAACTACTGAAGCTCCGGAATATGAATATTACTACGAGGAGTATGATGAGCCAGTGTCAAACGCTACTACTGCTGATCTGCTGAAGACTCCCGGTCAGAATCAGTCTGAGCCAGTGAAGTATTCGGCTAAATATAAAGATACTCCGAAAAGTGAAGATTTGCAGCAGAAAAACTCTAAATTGAACATCAATATTCAATCAGCTCCAACCGAGAGTAGTCCAAAGAAAGGCCAGTATCTTATCGAGACTTCAGTGTCGGCTACTACGCCTAAACCAAAGAAGATTTTAGCAACAGCAAAGCCAAGTCCCACGCCTTTTAGTAGTACGACCGAACGGTTTGACAAGAAATTTGGTTCGGGGCAATTTCTTATTGAGACATCGGTAATTACAACTACCACACCAAAGACAAAGAAAACGGTTTCTCCAGCTAGATCGAGAACAACTACGGTACGACCCAGAACGACTGAGAAACCACATAACTCAACACAAAAACCTACAACGACAACAACAACCGATTTGTACGAACTTGACTCTAGACAAGTACAGTCAGTTATAGTTCCCAGGTAATTTCTAAAAGCATAATATTCTAGCTTAATGAGCAAGTTGGCCTGTACTCATCAGCGTCCACACACATGGACGCAAAACAGCACATTTTTATCACTGAATTGATTTTTTCTTGATTTCACTTTCTAAGAGCTTTACTAGGAATCATCCGATACAAATTAAGTTTTTCATTTGGTAGACATGTTTCTAGATTTATGAATAGTTGCAATAAAGCGATTTTTTCATACTGAACTGAGTTACATTTAGTCCTTAACCTCTAGTAATATCATCAATTTAAAATGAGGGAACAATGCATTTTGAAATGATCGTTTTGATTCCGCCGGCATAGTCTTAAGCATTGTTCATAAACTGCAGTCATTTTTATATTGGTGGTATTATCATCTTAACCGCTTTGCATCCTTTGAACATAATCGTTAATCACTACTAACTCATAATGTCTAGTTACAGGATTTTGCAAACGGTCTTTAACTATTGTCCCAATTACTCATTGAAATTGGAACAAATAATCAAAATGCTTAGTCCGTTTTCGTTTTGAGCAAAGTCGGGTGGGATCGAATAACAGTTTGGCAGACACTTGAAAAATTCTGCAATTTCCACTTTCACTTTTTATTGCGGAACTTCGATCATGACGAATAGATGATCTGGTTTTGGCACTTGTTCAATGCAACTCTCTTAACTACTTTACGAGGTCTATTCACATGACAAGGCTTGATAAATGCAGTTTGCGCCTGTATGTCTTATAAATACGGTTGCATCAATACGAGAAAAACATTTTTGTATAAAATAATAATTATTCATGAGTTTAAAGTATAGAAGATTTAAAATGAAAAAAAAACGAAATTGCATGAACAAAAATAGATTGTTACAATATGTTACTTTATGAATAGCAACACATGTTGAAAATGTGCCATATGTTAAGATTGTCTGGCCACATAACTATTACCTGTGAATTGCAGGTAGTCGATCCAATTTCATATTTTGTAACGTTTTCAGTTGCATTTGTCTTAACGGCATTGAAACAAAAACTTGACCGATTCTAATAATTATAAATGGTGAAAGCCGATTTTTCAATAAGAAACCGCACTGGCGCGGCTGCCCACCATATTGGAATGCCAGAAAAAATGGGTCTTGTAAAATACGTAGCTAGAACCTTGCATGTAACGTTTAATGGTAGTTTCCATAAAACTTTAGGTGCTGTACTTTCGTTATATAACCAGTATAAATTCCAACTAATAAATGAGACCTGCTAAGCTGCAATAAGAAGCCAATAAAATACGAATAATTATAATGCAAAGCGTGCCAAAAATACGATTAATTAACTTTTTATATGGGAACATTGAATAATATTGAAAAATGCAAACGAACATTTTGAGTAATGCATACATGCGATTACCTGGTTGTTAATATGCGGCGTACATATGTACACCGTACTTTCATGAATTCGCAAATAAAAACTGCCTCTATTATGAAAATTGGAGCAATAAATTATGCAAATTTGCTCCACCTGTTTGGTAAAAATAAGGAATTTATTTGTTATTTCACTTTCGTAACTGTGCGGTTTTTTTTTATCAATTACCGGTTAGTCGAAAACATTGCGTTCCTTATTTGCAGTTACAGTACTCTTACAATTTCAGCTGTTACTCGTAATGATTCTGGTTGCAATCGCCAACAATTCCTGTCATTTCCATTACCGACTAATAACGTATTAAACTAGTTACACTCCTATAAACCTAACTTCCCGATAAACATTCCAATTCTTGCAATTTGAATATTAATTAAGTATTTCATATAATTATACATGTACTATCTTTCAACGTAGAAAATTGAAATATTTCCAGTGGCAATTAAATATTTTCAATCACACTTGTGTTTAAAAAGTTGGAACCTTTCCAGAAGGAATCAATAAACCCGGATGTTTTTTAGCGCTGATATTTTCGAAATGAGGAATTTTACCCGGGGGTATATTGTAGGGATGAAACGGGACATTTGCGGAAAAGCTCTTATTTCCGCTCATGGAATATGAAATAAAATTAAAATGTCTAATCAAAGCGAATGTTTAAGGGGTTTGTTTTGTGCTAATATTTGCATTATGGAAAACATGTAATTTAGTTTAATGCTACTTCCGCCCCTCAACGTACTAACCGCCTTCCACATTTGAAACCATTGACGGAATATTGAATAAAATAATCTATTGGAACTAATCAAAACATGCTTCCCGTTATGATATTGATGGCTGTTTTGAGCCCATATGTGATATAATTTTGCTCTTTACAGGCAATAAAGATTATTTAAATCCTCTGGAATTCTGACTGGACTCAATGACTTATTACATTGACTTTAAATATTATATTTATTTTGAACCCTAAAAAGATGCTTGATTAAATAAATCTATACTATTATAGCGACGACAAAAATACCGTTTCCCAAGCTCCAAGCGTTCCAACTGCCACAGCTACAGCTAGAACGTTGTACAACAGCAGTCAGTATAACAACTTAAACCAGAATGATAACCGTTATGATCCCTTCATTGCCCTTTACGATGAAGATGCGGAAATTTACAAGGATACTGGTAAGTTTTCGATCATCAATCACTCAAATCTAATTTCCAGGGTATTTCAAAATCTGCACACGCTCCTATCAGAAACGAAAACCAAATAAAATCAGCGTTGCCAGCAGCCGCAGTTTTATCTTTATTGAGAAAATTAATCGCAAAATTTGGCCTGCAAGAGCAACTTTAGAATTCAAGAGCACATTCACAAACTTCCCAAAAATTGCCTGACAGTAACTCAAAACCCAAATATTTTCCATATACAGGGTTGCTCATTAGTGCGTCAAAGTGCGATATTATATATATATATAACATATATAAGCGCTTTGCCCGACGAAAGCTAATTAAAAATATGTTCGAACTTAACTAGTTTCTCGGAAAATTAAGATGAAACTAACCCCTACATAAACAGCCATAAAATACACGTGCAAATTTGTTTTAATCTTGAAAATAGCGTGATGATGAAACAAAATATAAACTTCTGCCACTTAGACTGACTAGAAAGTAAAAGGGATGAGACCCAACAAAATTCACACAAGAGCCTCTCTATGCTTTAGCTGATTTTTAAGAAATAACGTCGGCTGGCATATAGATCCGCAAAATAAAAAAAATAAAAAAATGTATCCTGATTATTCCCGGAGGATGAGAGCTTATAGAGCTGACTTTGGCCTATACATTTGATATAAAAGTGACTTGGTAAATTCCTAAGCAAAACCACAAATATATTTTTGGCCATAAGAAAAGTTATCACAACTTATAGAAGATTGAAAAATGCATATAAAAAGGTCCCTATCACGTTGCCCGCAAAAAAAGTTGGTAAACCATTTTGAAAAATTCTGAACGAGTGCCTGAGGATTAAGGATTGCGATCGATCATAAGCTAGAGAAAGTTAATATTTGTTTGGACATTCCAGATTATACTCCTCAAAATAATAACTACAACACCAATGCACCAACTAGAGGAACTGCTGTTCATCGAGGAGCCCCAGCTGCACGTGATGATTCCACAAAGCGTGGAAACGTTGTCTATAACAATGTTAATCATGACATTTACCAACAACCATCCACTGTCAGTGATTATAGCGACAACTCCTATCAGGTAAAGATTTCAGGATCACCACCTCAACTAGTTCTAACAAATTGACAACTTTAGGAAGAAGATCCAGCTTATCGTCAATCTAGTCGAGCTCCGGCTAGGTAAGTACAGAAATTGACAGGGTGTTTAAAGAGTGTTCAGTTACGGTTTAGCCTTAGGGGAGACAGAAATGAGATAAATGATATTGAGGAGGTTCCTACCACTAAAAGAACTACTTCAACTTCTCCAATCAGAAAACTTACCACCACTACCCCCAGAATTACTACCACGGCGCAAGCACGAACCTTACCCCCTAAAAAGATAACCACCACTACTCTTCCAAGGTACTACAAAAGTAAAGATGCTCTACAGGATGTGTACGAGCTTGCTTATTTGAGTTCATTGTTTCACTGATCATTTGGTCTCAATGCTTTGCAATCATTTTTGTAGTATCTTATTGTATCTTTTTCACTCTTTAGATAATACCATTTAATCAACTTGCTAGCCTACCTAATCTCATTCATTCCTAAGCTCATGTAGTTCGCACTTTATCAGTTTATCATAGAGCATAGTGGCGTAAGCTGTAGTAGAATCTACTAGTTATTCTGGCTTAAGATGATGAGACTGAAACCGGCGATTTTCGCCTAAAGTAACTTCATCTTAGGTCAAAATTAGTGAATAACATGAAAATCAAAACTGAAAGTTGAAATGAATTAGACCAGCAATCATTCAGCGCTAAACGCTTTCAGTTTTGAATTTCCTAATTAAAAAGATTGGGGATTCTAAAGCCATTATCATTTATTCTAGCCAACCGCCTGTCACAGCGTTTGAAAACCAAACACAAGCACTGTCAAATAATACGAACCCGGGACACATTAAAGATGTTCCTGATTCCTTTAATATTCCCACTGAATCAAAGACTGAAGAGTCGGAAGAATCATTTTTACTAGACAGAAATCCTGACTTGCATGAACCATACTCGGTGAAAAAAACTCCCCAGTTTTTAGCCTCAGATCATTACATTACTATTAAACCAGCTTTTCACTATATTACGAAGGCACCCAAGTCAACTCACCAGATCTCGTCTAGCAATGAAAGTGTTGAAAATATCGAGTTACCTACATCACCCTCACCCGATGTGGAAGTTCAACCATCGATTAAACTAAAAATAATCATTCCTACCACATACTCACCACCTAAGTACTTACTGAAATCGATTCTACCTAGCGCCCCAATATTTTCTTCATCGCTCTTCAGCTTCCGACCGAAAAACCAAAGCCGCGTGGTCAACAATTCGCAAAATAAAAATTCCTATCAATATAAAACTCTAAAAGCTGTTCGCAAGCTAATTAATCCCATCACTGTGAATCATGAGCTATCGACTAAGTCTGGTACCACATATGAGTCAGCAGAAGATATCGTTGATAACATTGACGAAATACCTGAAGAAGCATCGAAGTTCATTAATGACAAAAATAGCAAAATTCAGTTTTTGGGTGTTCAACTTTCATCTAATCATACGGCCCAAGAATTCACCAGTACTCCATATCCGCCAACGACTGTCCCTACTTACACAACTACGAAACGATATTCTCTTGATAAAACTGCTGCAGATAATCCTAAAAATCGCTTATATGCTTTACTGTCTAAAGAGAAGCAGAAGGACAGAGCCAGAGAAAATTACTCAAGTGAAAAACGTATTAGAATAACTGTGGAAGTTCCACCACCACAAGACGTAGTTGACGAAGACACACCAAAGACTGAGCCGGACCAACCGCCATCCTATAAGCCTAAACCAATATTAACTCCTAAAACAGAAACCAAGACGGATTCTCCTGTAAATATATCCCTTCCTACTAGAGTATCCCGGGTAAACGCCGCCATAAAATCCCTTATTGCTATTGCTGGGACTAAAGGACCATCGAAATGTAGCGACAAAGGTCCAAAATGCAAGGTCGATGCAAAACAGAGGTATTTGTCATTCGTCCTCATTCCGCAAATTAATTTGCATGGAACTGCACAGATTTTCCTGACATTTGCACTCCTTCTTAACCAGTATATTACTCTTACACGCTTTCAATAAGGACTAGTGAGGACATCTTAACTAAAGTTAGTGAGACTGGAAGTTGACTCTGGACCTACCTAATTCCCACATGTTACACCATTACCTAATTAACACTCACAAAATCACATTATTTAATTATTTAGAGCAATTACACATTCAAATGCCTATAGATTGGGGTATGCAGGTTTGTTATTGCAAAACATAGAAACAAATTGAACGCAAAACGTCTTGCAAAGAGAATCGATAATTTATAGGTCTACATATATAGGAGGATTCAAAATTATGTTCGATTCAAACGTGTTTATGAGACAAAAGTGTTTTTTGATTTCTCGTCCAAAAAAATCAGTTATGCCTTAAAGGAAGTACATTTAGCTTCATAACATCAGATTTATCAACTTTTATAGCCCTCATATATTTTGGAGGAGACTCATGACTACGAAAAATGGCTCTTGTTTTGACCTCAAAAATACGCTCTGAATTACGAATTCTGAACCATCCTGTATATCCGACCGGGATAGTATTTGTGTATGGCCTCTATAAAAATATTGTCATGGCATTCATCAATCCCATCATCAATATCAAGGGGCAATTGCAGGTCCCTTTGTAATAATAAGCATACTGCCCCAAAATAGTACTCCCCCATAACCAATGCTTAGCAAGCTAAAGGAGAAGTAGACCAGATATGAGGATCGTTATTTTAGAAGCTAAACTGGGCAATTTACGCCTTAGCATGAATTGATGGTGGAATCACTTTATTAATGATTCAATTGTTGTATGCAATATTATTTAATACGCGATTTTTACTTTTAGAACACCTTCAAGAGGCCGAGGCACATCTCATTACAGTAATTCTGCTTCTATTGCTAGTAATGAAGTTACCGTTAATGTTAATAGGGGTACTCCAGCTCCGTAAGTTTACCAATCTGATCTTGCTCATACTTGCAAAAGTTCGGAAAATTATTATACTTTTGCATATATGAGTGGACCATTGAAAATCTTAATTACGAAAGATTCAGGTGCAATGGTAAATTGCTATTACACCAACCTGAAACCTCCAAAATTTGTTCAAACAACATGTTTTCAAATTCAAATCATGAATTTGTCAGTAGTATTTTTCGTATTTTTAGCCGTTCGCGACCAACCCTCAAACCCTCAACATCGATTGTTTCCAAAGCCGCGGAATTTATCGACATCTACAAATTCCCTCCACGTAGAGCAGAAGCTCTCTATCCTCAACCACAACCCGACAAAACCGCCGCTAAATGCAGAAAAGACGTTTGCTTACTTCCCGATTGTTCCTGCGGTGGTAAAGAAATTCCCGGTAAGTAGCTAACCGTCTAGAGGTAGTTGTAGTCAGTTGCAGCGTTAGGAGCCCATTAGGTTGTTCATCGGCCATTTCTTAAGGTGTTCTTATTAAATAGGCAACGTTCCAGTGGAGGAAACCCCCCAAATTGTCTTAGTGACCTTTGACGATGCTGTTAACGATTTAAATAAACAATATTATATTGATCTATTTGAAAACGGACGCAAGAATCCCAATGGGTGTCCCATATCAGCCACCTTTTATGTATCCCATGAATGGACCGACTACAGCCAAGTGCAGAACTTATATGCAGATGGGCATGAGTTGGCTTCACATACAGTGTCGTAAGTGGCCTTTTTTTGGCCATCATGGGACTGGAAAGCAATCTTTTCTGTTTATTCTTTTACTGTTTCTTATTTCCTTGTGGTTTTCTTTACGTGTATCTTCACTTCTGCAGTTAAAAGCATTTTGGTAGCTTGAGTCAGGATACACGCAAAAGGTGTTTTTAATGTATTTGATGTACTTTCGGCAAATGTGCATAGTCCTTTAATTAGGACAATTTTTACGTGCATTCTCTTATTTTCACTCATTACCTGTTTCTTTTTCTGCGCCTACTAACCAATAGGAGACATACCAGTTGAACAAGTACCCCAAATCGTTCTTCTTACTTTCGACGACTCTGTTAACGACTTGAACAAAGGTTTATACCAAGACCTCTTTGAAAGAGGCCGGACCAATCCAAATGGGTGCCCAATCGCTGCTACTTTTTACGTGTCCCATGAATGGACCGACTATAGCCAAGTACAAAATTTGTACTCTGATGGTCACGAATTAGCATCTCACACAGTGTCGTAAGTGAAAAAGATAATCTTTGCACAGCACAACACAGATTGATCAGTTGCACCAATTTTTTTAGCTTCCAATACCAAGCTTCCGATACTAACAACTTTCACTTTCGAATTAATGCGTTTGCTTATCTCTTGCTTCACACTTTACACCACAAAATAGTGTCTTTTTTCCAGTCGAAAATATGTTAAATTATCATTTTCTTGATCAGTATCGACAATTAAGCAGAAATTTTAAATATTATTGCTTCAAGTTCTCACTAATTTTTGGTTTTCTTTGCGTTGCAAAAATATTTAAAATAAGGCACTGTTTTGTAATCAGCGTCTGTGAGAAACATTTGAGTTTAAAGCGATTTTCTCACATAGGCACAGTTTTGGTGAGCAGTTCTCTCAAAAGAAATGGACCCGTGAAGTAGCTGGACAAAGAGAGATTTTAGCCGCCTATGGTGGTGTTAAATTAGAGGACGTTAGAGGAATGAGAGCTCCGTTCTTGTCGGTAAGACCGACATTCTTGAAAAGCGCGTTTAGTGTGGAGTAAATTTAAAAATTTTGCCAATAGGTTGGCGGAAACAAAATGTTCAAAATGTTGTACGACTCCAACTTCACATATGACTCATCTATGCCAATCTACGAAAACAAACCTCCAAGTTGGCCTTACACTTTGGATTATAAACTTTTCCATGACTGCATGATTCCTCCATGTCCAACCAGATCTTACCCGGGAGTTTGGGAGGTTCCTATGGTGATGTGGCAAGATCTTAATGGAGGAAGATGCTCTATGGGAGATGCTTGCAGTAATCCCCCCGATTCCGAAGGAGTATTCAAGATGATTCTGAAAAATTTCGAAAGGCATTACACTACTAACAGGTTAGTACAACATTGTCTTATTAATGATATGGAAAATAAGTTTTTTGTATCTTCCAGTCTAATATTGGTGATAAGGAAAAGGTGCAAAAAGTTAATTGTTTTTTTTTTATTTTAGAGCTCCATTTGGTCTTTTCTACCACGCCGCTTGGTTCACACAGCCCCATCACAAAGAAGGATTTATCAACTTCATCGACACAATTTTGGCAATGAAAGATGTTTGGCTACTAACCAACTGGCAAGCGCTTCAATGGGTACGAGACCCAACTCCAGTCTCCCGACTAAACAACTTCCAACCGTTCCAATGTGATTTTTCGGTAAGTTATCAAGACATGTTTGACGGCTTCTAAATTATTTAAAAATTTGATTCTGCAGGACCGTCCAAAAAGATGTAACAATCCTAAAGTATGCAATCTTTGGCACAAATCTGGAGTAAGATACATGAGAACCTGCCAACCCTGCCCTGATATTTATCCATGGACTGGAAACACTGGAATCCGCAGTAGTAGAATTGATAACGATATCGAAGATTAGAGTTAAAGTCAGTTAGACATGGTGTTTTTTTGTAAAATTAGAATATTAATAGGCCATTAGACATTATTTTCAATGTGCAACGTCTTACGGGATCTAAATCCAGATTATTTATACTTCAGTAAAATTAAATGATGTTCTTTAGGTGTCAAGTTTAGCTGAGAAAAACTCATGCCTGAATAACATCACGTTCGTGGCCTTTTAGTAAATATGTATATATCCGTTAGAGTATCTAATGTTAAATTATTTTTAATACTGCCAAAACAAGTTTTAAGAATAACTAGTTTTATTAAAGTGTTCAACAAGCTATAATTGGAAATGTTTTGTCTGTGCTTTAACTTAGGCAAATCCTAGAACTCTTTCAAATTAGATTATTTTTATATGATATCTACCTAATTTATTGTAAATCAAATTTCTTTGTTGCGTGTACAGAACAAAATGTGTGAGGAATCCAGTGAGTGATAAACAGTAAAATCAGCTCAGTGTATTTTTTATTTCATTCCATTTCCATTTCCGAAATCAGGAAATTATTACTCAACTCAAATTAAACACCACCTGCAGCGTTATAATTTATTAATTCTAATACATACGAAATGTAATCCCAGGTTTCGAGCTGGAAAATGTTAAAATAATTCCAGTTGAATCGAACATGTTATTGTACGCTTTAGTTGCCCTCCTCGCGCCAATACATTGTACTGTTTTGGAGTCCACTGATGACATATATACAAGTGTAACAAAAAGGGCATTACAAAAATCTCACGAGAAACCAAGAATTCAAAAGTTATCGGAGTTTTTTCTGGAAACGGATTATTATCACGAAGACCCCGATAAATCGCTGATTGGTCTACTTAACTCGATCGCTAATCAGTACCTGTCGGAATGCACTACCGTTATTTTATACGACAATTACACTGAAAATACCGAGCTAGTGTTCCTAAAAAAGTTTTTCCGAACCTATCCATTGACTTATGTTCATGGCAGTATCCCGTCAGACTATCACATCCAGATAGGAGAATTAGTCAATAAAAACGACAAAAAGTGCGTTCACTTCATAATTTTCATTAAAGATGTGATGAGATGCCAAGATGTGGTCAACAAACGAAATGAGAGAGTCGTCGTAGTAGCCAAATCTTCCCAATGGAGAGTCCAGGAATATTTATCCAGTGAATTTTCGCAGGAAATTGCCAATCTGCTGGTTATAGTGAAGTCCGATAAATACGGGCCACAAAAAGTGAATAATTCTGTCCAATACCTTAAGTAGAACCGCTGATAAGTCAACACCTTTTAGGCAGAAACGCCTTTTATAATCTATACGCACAGGCTATTCGTCGATGCGCTCGGCTCTAGTCAACCAATAGTAATTGCTTCTTGGTCACGTGGAAAATTTTCATCAAATGCTTCCTTATTTCAAACGAAACTCAACCATGGATTTTCCGGTCACAGATTTATTGTTGCTACGGCTCATCAGCCGCCATATGTTATAAAAAAGTCTGTAAATTATATTGATTTTACTGCAGAGAAGATGGTAATGATGGTTAATCCGTAGGCAAAGAAGCGATAAAGATGAATTTGAGTATTCCGGCATCGAGGTGAAATTAGTTGAGTTGTTGGCAAAAATGTACAACTTCAGCACCGACTATAAAGAAACTGCTGACATTAAAGTTTTAGGGTAAGTATATAATCACACTACGACTTCTAAAAGAACAAATGACGCCAATATGAAGAACATAAACACCTTTCAGATCTGGAGAAGCAGTAGTCAAAGCGATCAAAGCCGGCAATGTTAATTTAGGAATTGGCGGATTGTATATCACGGAAAATCGGTACAACGCCGGAATATTTCACTGGCACAGTGAAGATTGTGCCTCTTTTATTTCTTTAGCTTCAACTGCTTTACCAAGGTAGTAAATTACTTCTCTCTAAGGCAACATGCCCCCTAATAATATCTTATAAGTTCCACACAAATTCAGCCCAAATATTTCAGAGGCGAATTTGATCAGTATCTGATTTTCTGGAAAAAGGTCGGCTGTATCAATAAAATTAACGAGATTAAAATTTAAGGTCTTTCCATATCTAGCTATATGATGTAGATACATTCTGGACCTGATATATGATCAAATAGCGAAATTGCAAATATCGATCGATCAATTGAAAATAAAAAAAATCTGTTTTGAAGCCTATATGCTTGATTTTGAATAACCGTGTATATGTCTCAACGGTAGATATCGAGCCATAATGGGACCTTTCCACTGGACCGTCTGGTTGGGTTTGATCGCAGTCTATTTAGCGGCCATCTTACTCTTCAGTTACTCCGATAAGCTAACTCTGAAGCATTTAATACGCAATCCCATTGAAATTGAAAATATGTTCTGGTACGTATTTGGAACATTTACAAATTGCTTCACCTTCAGTGCAGGAACTTCGTGGACCAGAGCGGAAAGGGACATCACAAAGTTACTTGTCGGTAACAAGCCAAATTATAAGCAACCATCAAGTAATAATATTGAGGTATTTTAAGGCATTTATTGGCTGTTTACGATTATAATAACCGCATGCTACACAGGATCAATAATAGCCTTTGTTACATTACCAATTTATCCTGCGGTTATCGATTCAATTGACCAACTGACAGGGAAAAGATACCAGATTGGAATGCTGAACAAAGGGGGGTGGCCTAGTTGGTTTCAAAATGTCTCCGACGAAACAAGCGAAAGACTTCTTAGGAAGGTCGATTATGTTCCAGACGTGGAAAGTGGCCTTAGGAATGTTACAAAGGCCTTTTTCTGGCCGTACGCGCTCTTGGGGTCTCGAGAGGAGCTGCAGTTTATTGTGAAAACCAATTTCTCCCTAGGGTAACACGCTAAAAAGTTAATTTCGTGTTTTCTAATTATGAATTTCCAGAAGCAAAAAATCAATGCTACACATAAGTCAGCAATGTTTTGTGCCGTTCAAAGTAGGAATTGCACTTCCACATCATCTGGTTTACAGTGAAATCCTAGCTGGCGGCATTCAGATGATACTACAATCGGGACTTAACATTAAAATGAAAAACGATATTGAATGGGAAATGCTGAGATCATCAACTGGAAAACTTTTGGCAGTAAGCTGGGGTTTTTGAATATGTTAAGTACTTATTACATGAAAATCGTCCATCAGGCAAATTCTAGATCAGGAACTCTAACAATTTTATCAAGAGATGATAGAGCCTTGACATTAGACGACACCCAAGGCATGTTTCTGCTTCTTGCAATCGGATTTCTCGCTGGAGGAGGCGTTCTTATATCGGAAATATTTGGCGGATGTTTCAATTTATGCAAGAAGATCGACAATTCACGAGCCACATCTTCCAACAGTTCAATTCCAAGCAACCCAAGATTTCATGAAAGACAAACGATCCGAGAAAGAAACCGGAGCATTAGCTTGGCGAGTTTTCAACAACGACACAACTCGATTCAATCGGAGATCGCATTTGAAAAGGCTCAGGCGGAGGAACATCATCAGGGCGGATTGGTTGAATGTCAAATTCATGGTACAATACCCGATCAAAATTCCCAAGGGGTAGTTTTAGAAGAAACTAACGCCGATATTGATTATAATGAGCAAATCAGTAAATTGTTTGAACAAGCTTTGGGCGAGGAAACTTGCGGTAGTAGCCACTCAGGGCATAACCAAAAGCTTACCTGATGTGGAAAAATATATGAATTAAAAATGAAATATTACAATGATAGTCGAAAATGAATTACAGGCACAATTGATGAACGTAACTGTTACGTAAAATAAATAACTCCTAAAATATTAAAGTAATGTCTTTTTGGTGGCTATGAGACTTGGGAAAATAGGCAAAGTTTGGCTTTCTGGGGGTCTCACCCTTACTGCCGAGCAATTTCTGTCCTATTGTAGCTCGTCTGCTGTACTCCTTTACTACCCATGTTATATAATATTTTAATTTCCTTTGATCTAGTGTAAGCAAAGGCAGATTCAGAGGGGGGTCAAGGGGGTCATGACCCCCCCCCCTTCTTCAATTCTCTATCCAACGATGCCAAAACGACTTCTCTGGCTCGAATGGTTCTTGAGAAACTTGGAAAAAAAGAGCGTCATGTTCAAGTGGATTTTGCAACTCTTTTGCAATTAAAACATTTTTTGAGAAAACTGCTAACATTTCCTTATCGATGGTTCACTTTCTAAAAAGGCCATTTCTTTCTCTATAGAATGATGTACAAATGAGCGTTCTTGCTCATTTTGCCTCCGAGAAATGAGCAAAAACGGGACGGAAAACATGGAATTTTGGCATAATCTTGCATCTAAGTGTCTGATATTTAAGTTTCGCTTTCTGTATCAAAACCACTCGAATTTCCTCACTCACGTTGTTACGACTGAATCGACTTTTCAATTCTCTATCCAACGATGCCAAAACGAATTCTCTGGCTCGACAACAAAATACTGTATTTTTTCTACATAACCCCCCCCCCCTGAATTTAAAGCTGGATCCGCCCCTGTGTGTAATCCGCTTTGGACAAATGGTGAATTCTGGAGGGTCTTGGTAGAAAATCTAACAGATTTTTTCATGTGGTAGGTGAAATCAACTGATTTTTTTTGAGTTGACGCACTATCCTCTTTTGACATTTTCTTTGCAAAATCTTGTAGCATTCGTAGTTCTCGGGCCAAAAAAAAAAAAATATTTCAGTTCGCATACCAACTGACAATTTTCGATATTCATTAACTTTCTAAGTAAGTTCTTTCTAATAAAAGTTACGTCAGAGCGTTTTCTTTTGAAAAGAATTTCGCAGTAATTTTTTGATCATGTGTTCACGGGACATTAGGATTATACTACTTAAAATGTAACTGTCATGGTTTTTCCATTCCAGTTTTATACTACTTATTCGATTTCCAAATAAAAAACCAAATTTTATTATAGTCCGAAGATATGCAGATTTTCTTCGAGTTTAAATAAGAATTTAATTGTATTGAAATCATAAATCAAGTAAAATTCGGCATACTAAATTTTAAATTTCCTCTTCTCATCCATCTTAATCATCAATCCAACTTAAAGCAAACTATCACCAGTTTTTTTTTTTAGTTCTCCATTTTTCTTAGTTTTTATTGATTTTTTAATCTGTTCTAACATCTCTTCATTCTATATTTTAGACTTGAAGATGCAAATTTACTTTTCCAAAACCCCGTTTTGAAACTCAAGGGTTCTGACTGATAATCTTTGGGTGAAACCAATCTCCAGACCTCCACAGTTCCCTGCGGATAGCTACACTCACTTGTCTTTATCTATGGCTACACTTATCAAAAAAATAATAAAAATAATGTAAAAATATTCATTATTTTGAATGAGTCTGCTCTGCTGAGAGTGCTCTAAAGAGCCCCGGTGCCCCGCAAAGCCACGGATAGGGCTCCGCCCGCAGCAATTAAATGACTACATATATTAAAACGAAAACAATACACAGAAAACTGGTTTTGCTTTTGTTTGGAAATGATTCACGGCTTCGCTAAAAATTTAGTATTTTAAGTCACCAGAAAAATTTAAAGAACCGCTGATCGAAGCTTTCTTTAAAAGCCTTTGGCGTAACATAGCGCATTCACCTCAAGAAGAAGTTCCTTCTATGTTTTGAGCTTGCAGGCTGTTTAGAAATAAAATTGGATTGGATTTGGAAATAAAAAATTACTTTCATATAAATATATTGAAAAAACCGAAGAGGGGGAATGGGGAGGGGGGAATAAATGGGTCAAAAAGCCGATAATTGACATATTAGAGGCAGGAGCTCCTTCTTGTCCAGAAAAACCGTCAGCACGCAAAAAAGCTCTAGACATGAAGATCGGATAATCTAGGGGCACCTGGCGGAGACAAAAGCAAAAAACCGCTAGAATTTTATCAAAATGAATTAAATTTTCATACTAATGGTGAGTTATTGAAGCCAAATGGTTTTACCTAAACTTGGAATCAGAAAACCATGAAGATCATTCTCAGGTAAGCTGAACCGAAAGCTTTCCGAGTTTAAAACTTATCCAGCACGATTTAAAACACATTCACCAGAAAAACCTACTTTTACTGTCTGTCATATTTGGCACTCTGAAAAAGACATTGTTGCCAGCGACAGTTATTTAATCTAGATCATAGTGAATTCCGCCTTTAATCAACCAATAAGTTCACAATAATTACAAAAGCAATTAAAATAAACTACAGAAAGAAAATAGTCTAACTCTTGTCCGCTACTTTTGTATATTCCATACAATTAATACACATAATCTTAAAAATGTAAAAATTTGCTTTCATACAATAACTAATTATATGGATTCTAGTAATAATTTACAAATTATTCAAAGCAGTAAAGAAGCTCAATATGCCTCTATGTATAGAAAACTAAGTTAAGCTCTTAACAGTATCTAACTTAACCGACAGATGTCCATAGGGAGTTTATGTTGGTAGTAGCAATGTCTAAACAATATGGTAGACGGTGGATTCGTATTCTGTGTTTGTTTTTTATCATTTTGCAGAGAAAAGTGGGTTAATTGAAATTTATCAATAAGAATTTCACTCGGAAATTTGCTCGTTCGTTCGTCGTAAGTAGCCTTCGCGTTAAAATGAGTAAAACAGTCAGTGGCAATGAAGATTTGGACGACATAAGCATGACTGCCCAAGAATTACACATTTTATCTGAGCTCGACAGGTTTGTTGTTAATTAAATAATTAATTTATTTTGATAATAATTATCCGTTTTAGTCGTCAGTACGGATATTTGCTACTAAATCAGCCTGAGAATGCCAAGAAGAAAGCATTAGTCCAAAAGGTAGTAACACGTCCTCATGTGAAAATTCTAGGTTATAATTTGTTGTTATTTTAGGCGGTTAAATATTTACAACTTATGCTAATACAAGCTCGTAAGAATCAAAAGGAGCAAAATGAGAACGAGCCCAGCAATTTCCAGAGCAAGCAGATCAGCATTGACCCGAAAACTTGGGTTAAATTGGGACATTTCCATTTGTTGTTGGAGGAGTACCATAAAGGTAAAATGGCAAATCAAACCACCACAGGCGTATTTTACATAATCTGCTCATTTCAGCTTTATCAGCTTATCAACGGTTCTACAAAGCCCAAGCAGAAAATCACTGGCAGAATACCACATTCCTCTACGGTCTTGGGTTGGTCTATTTTCACTACAAGTCCTATCAATGGTAAGTGGAGATTTTGCCCAACTGGGTATTTTGCATGTTTGTATAGCAATCGAAGCTTCAAGAGTCGAATGGTTTTAGTTCAATTGGTTTTTTTAATATCTTACATATAAAAAATCAACACGTGGTTTGGGTTTATAAACGAGTTTTCCCTTCGGAGAAAAATTTTGCTGTAATTTTCTTGTTTATCAGTTCCTTGCGTTCTCAGTTAACAATATGCACACTTTATAGGTAACCCCTCTAATAAAAACTTTCCTTAGGACTCTATGAAATGCAGTTTTCGACAACTTTTTATTTATTGAAATTCACCTTTTCCATAACTTCTCAGCATACCCATGCTGCATGGGCAAAAAATCTCAACTTTCTAACCTGCTGCTAAATTCTCGTTTTGGAGAAAATACCTTCTTAACGTTATAAAAAACAGCTATAAACAGCTATTAGTCACTCCTACGAAGACACTATGTCTACATGAGTTGGGAACCCATGGGAAACTGGTCTTATTATAAGTTTTACGGCAAAAAATTACTCATAAAAGGTCTACATGTCCTAAAATCTAATACCGCGTCCAGACCTAACAAGTCGAGTATGAGCCGCGGCAAATTCCTTTAATATTTAGTCAAAACACCGACACAAAATCGATCGTCTGTCAGTGTTGACGAAACATCAAAGGAATTTTGCCGCGGCTCAGGCTCGGCCTGTTAGATCTGGACGTACTATAACATACAATCATCAGACAATATTTTTTCAATAACGATAATATGGTAGTTTACGCGGTGTGTCAAAAAATATTAATTTTGCGCAACAATAAAGTAAGTTTTTGACAATACCGAAAATTGTGATGAAAATAAGTTGACTACAATTTAAAAACTACTTCCCTACTTCCAGGGAAAAATCTTGCACAGTAAAGAAAATATTAAACAAAACTTGAAAATGTACATGATTTATTTTTTAAGTAGCAAGGTGTACTTGCATATGTGAACGTATTTTTAGTTCTGATCAACTTTTTTAATAACAATTTTCGATATTGTCAAAAATAAAGGTACTCCACTCTTGAGCAAAATTCATTTTTTTTGACAAACCGCATAATCAACTGAAAACAATTATTAGCTGGTAATTGTATTCCAGATTTCAGAACATGCAGAACTTTCAATAAATAATATTTTTGTCAAAATTAAAAAAGGGAGTCCCATATGTTGCCAACTTAGGTAGACGTAGACTGGGTAGATTTGAAGAAAACATGCAATTAACCAATACGAAACAAAACTAAATGAAACTAAACTATCCATAATACTTGCAAAATGTGCCTGAGAAATTATCAAGTACATCAAAGACCGCATTTCCACAAGAAACCCTACTAAAAAAAGTCGTTAGTAAAGTTATTATTTCTATGGTGCGCATATTGTTAACTTCGAACGCGATGCGTATATAAACTAGGATTTGGTCCAATCTTGGACTGGAAGGGACTTCATATAATTTTAACATTTATGGCTCAAATAAACTATCCTCTTATATTAAGGAATTTGCAATAAACCATTATTTAGCCGGTGATCACATATACAGTGTCCAAAGCATACAACGATTCCAATTTAAAAATTCTAATGCAGCTCCCAACCAAGATATTGGTCCCAACAACTTGGTATTAGATTAAATTACTTTTTAACCTTTGGATATACGTTTTTTTTTTCTGGGAAATGCATGTTTTTTTTTTATAATTTTATCATCGTGTTTATAAACCCACAAGATTTATTTTTACACTTGAACTTTAAAGCATTTGGTAGTGCGTCGAACCTGGTCCATTTCTGACGCACTTTCGTAGCAAATTTCGTTCAAAACATTAATTAATGGCCCTAAACTAGTATCAAAATATATACTTGAAGAAATTTCAAAGTTATCAAAATTTATCTAGAGAACTGTGTAGGCCAACTCGTTTTACTCGACTCCCTTTATATCAGATATAAAAAAGCAAAACAGTCCTTTCAAACATTACGTCGATAACACTTAAATAGTTATGAACTTAATGCCACGCCAAGTTCTTTGACTTCTGGCAAGTGCATAAAATATTTCCGACTTGAACATAGAATTGCATTAATTCTTGAAAGTGCCCATTTAGTTATAATAGAAGGTTCAACGGTCTAAAATTGTCGTGTACTATTTAGCAAACCCCTTTCGTGATAATCCGCATTTTAATAATTAAATGATGAAAGCGTATTTTTTAGAAACATATTCAACTTTATTTGGTACACAGTAAAAGACGCCTATTTTTTCGGTCAATAGATGGTGGCAAAAATGAAACACTATTTTTCCATGAGTCGACTTTTCGACTATATTTAAGTCATCTTTAGGGCTCTATGAAGCTTTTAGGCTGAAAATATACCTACCTCGAACGGTATGTTGCCCTTGTACATTTGGTGGAAATATGGCAATAACTTTATAGAGCCCTGAGGATGACTTAAATATAGTCGAAACGTGGACCCATGAAAAAATTGTTTTATTTTTGCCACCATCTATTGACCGAACAACCCACAAACCTAAATAGGCGTCTTTTACTGATTATCATCACGGTGTTTCCAATCCACAACTTTATTTGGTAAAGTTAGAATGTATTAAAACTCTTTTGCATATAGAGATCTAGTACATATAGCGCATACTGCTAGTATATGTTTACTACCTGGTAAATGTAATGTTTGGCTTCGATGCGTGGGTCAAAGAAGCTTACTATTTGTATTCTTTAATGCAGTTTCCTCTGACCATAGCCTTCGCTATGCCCACATTACAGAGTGGGAAAATAAGCGTGTAACAAAACTAAACAGGTCTCAAGATGTGCTAATCTCAGACACCATACGGTTTCGAGACTGTTAGCTCTCATCAGACGGGTTAAGCCGGAAAATAACACTTTTGCACCTGTGGAGAACAATGAATTTGCGGGCATCATCAGGGCCGTAAAACGTTTCTGCTAACGCTTGGAACTGGACCTGGAAGTGTTTGAGACTCGTACATTTCGTATTTGTTTATTACTCTTTTGCCTGATAGTTGAATCACCACAAATCACTAAGCTTATTTGAGCAACCATCATTGAGCATACTCTACGTTCCCATTCCAGTCCCATTCCAGTATTATTGTCCCATAAGGGACAATAATAGAAATCCTACCTAGGAGAGCACAAAACCTATACATAGGCCATTGTTTGAGAAGCCGATATATAACAATTCCAACACAGGTACCCAAATCCAAAAGAAAATAATTTTTCGTGTCCAGCATTTAGTAGGTACCTGCTCCATCTTCTTGATATGGTTTCCTACTTATTGTTTGGTGCCTTTTACTTACTTCCTTTCAAATTCATGCGCTGTAACTAAGATGTTTAAGCGTGTTCAGATGCGATTTGATGGTGATGGTCCAACATTCGCAGCCGATTTTGAGCAGGTGCCCGTTCTTTCCCTACGTTATTTCAGACGGTTTTATCAATAAAATCCTTACAATTCTAGTATCTCTAGCCCAACATAAAACATTCTCAGCAATCTTAGGGAGTCTGTATTACGGAGATTTTTTACTCAAAACCGATTCCATCCAAGATTCTTTTATTAGAAAGCCCAATGAGAGCGGTTGGTCTCTATTTAAATCATCCGGCAATTACAAAAATAGCTGGTAAATTTATTGTTGCAGAGACAGCATGTAAATTCTAATTAATGTAAATGTGGCTGTATATGTCTCTATGCCACCTAAACTTTCATTGTAATAAATTATTTTCTGGTAGACCACAGACTATGCAATGGCCAGGGCTTTGTTCATTTACATATAATTTGATACTGCGAAGGCTTATAATCATTATGCAAAGTACTTTTATGTAAACCATTTATCCTTGTGGTATACTGCTAATATTCCTGGCTCTAGTCTTAAACCGCTATAAGGCATCATTATCGAATGGTTGGGAATCTGCTGAGGCAATAGAATATTAAGTATGTATCAAAAGAGATAGACTTTCGAGGCCATTCCTTGAAACTAGTGGGTTTTTTGGGATTTTAGCCCGTCGTTCGGTAGAATTTCTTCTTGTTTCTAGAAGAGGAAATTCTACCGAACGACGGCCTAAAAACCCGAAAAACCCATTAGTTTATTCAGTATGTGTTTGGTTAAACTGCATTCAGGTGGCTAAGTTTTCTTCAACAGCTCTATGAACGATTAATTCAAAACATTATAACAATTCATCTTTTGCAAAATCTGTGGATGTTTTTCCAGTTGATCTAATTTCCTTAAATGTGTTTGTCATGTTTATACCTGCAGGTGTAACGGCGCTCTAAAACATTAACTTTACAAATCAGTCTACAAATTCCCAATATGTTAAAATGAGCAACACTGAGTAAATAAACATGGTGTGATTCCTTATTGTTTTATTTCTGCTTGCGCTTGTGGTGCATTAATAAAATAAACAAGCTCCAAGAAAGCATGTCAAGGAGAATATATCGTATGCCAGCTCTGTAATGATTTTTATAATAAAAGTTCCTGTAACATCGCGAAAACTCACGTATTCCTTAAAAGCTCATAGATCATTATGCTTAAGCATTTCTAGATGATTTGAAAATTCCACAAATTTCTCAATCATTCGTACTTGCGTTTCATGAAGCAATCCTATAATTGTTTTATTCAACACCCCTTAAGTTGATATATTAAATTCGTGGGTTTAGCCGGCATTACACTACGCACTTTTCCCCGATTTATTGGCCAATTATTTAAGCTCACCAGATATGAACGTAAAGCATGGAATCGGGCTACGATCGATAAATCGTACAATTTACTGCGGACTTAGAGCATGTTGGAAATTATTGCGGATTAAGAAAATTTAGTGGAAATTTTTACGGTTATTTGTTGTTTCCGAACTGTGCAATGACGATGTTGGCACCGATTCTCAAAGTGAATTGACAAGAAATAGGAGTTAGGATATTTTTTATTTTTATTGTGTTTCAGATGTTGAAAACCTGTGCTGTATGCAATAAATTCAGCAAATTCATAAA